TAATTTTTAATTGCTATTTCTCATTTGGTCTGTAAGTTGGAAAGTCTCTTCCAGTTATAATATTAATTGCCATCGTAACAATATTAAGTGATGTCGGCACTGAACAGGTATTAGGCCATGAGCATCACTTTTCACAAGACTGAGCTAGTTATCACACAAGTGGCTTTCCTATAAAAGTGAGCTCTGCTGTGTGCCCCTTGCCCTTTTGCCATGCTATACCACACAGCAAGAAGGTCCCCAGGTACTGACAATAAACTTCCTAAACTCTGAAACCATTCAAGATAAATTTATTTTCCTTATAATCTGGTTTATAGTACTCTGTTACAGCAGCAGAAAACAGGTAAGACAAGTTATTTAAAAAGCAACACTTAAATTTTCAAATATATGAAGGTTTTCTATCTGCTTATTTTAGTGTAAATCCACGGTGCTCAAAGAACAGATTGTCAGTAAGAGTGATCTTACAAATATTTGTTGCAATTAGTTTTATGGTCCAACCAAGGAGTTGGAAAACATAACCATACCAAACCTAACATACCAAATCTAACATACTGCCTCTAGTTTTATGAAGCTGATAAGGTGTAGGTAGTGACAGTGAATTAGATCAAAATGCTGATAGTGTTCTATATTCTTACCTGCTTTTCTATCCTTATTTTATCAATCACCAAGTGTTTTGTTCAAGATCTCTTTCCTCCCTTTAATCTTGTCACCTGGCATTTTGTGTTATACACTTAAGTAAATACAAACTTGAGGATATTGCTTTGTTCTGTTGAATCAGCCCATGCATCATAAACTGCTCCATTTCTCATACTTTATTTGATAGTAATTTTGCATATCATCCATGCTTTTTGTCATCTTTGTATAACACCATTTCCTATCCTATCAACTCTTAACTTTTTATAGTCCTTCCATCTAAAGTTTCTCCATGTAAAAGTTACATGGAGCTACACTTAAATTCAGTGTCAACGTTTTTCTTTTAAGTAGAATATTCAAACAACTTACATTTAGTTTAAATGGTCTGAATTAAAATCTTCAATTTTCCCTTCCAGTTCTCCCACTTATTCTTGGCTGCTGTTATTCTCTCTTCTTTCTTTTGGATGAACTAAGCATTTGCTATTCCACTATGTGTTTTACATTTTTGCTTTTTGTTATCCTTTTGACAGTTACTCAAGAGTACAAACATGCAAGCTTGATTTATCAGTGTCTTTTAAATTAATCCTTTTATTACATGGAAAACACTACACAAACTGTACTATATTATCCAACCTGGCTTTGTGCCACTGCCATATGCTTTAATTTTACATATGTCATTCATACCATGAAAAACTGTTGCTGTTTGAAACAATCATTAGTGTTTTAGATTATTTATATAGTTACTTCCCATCTTCTGGCCTTTCTTTTTTTTTTCTTTTTTTGGGTCCGGTTGTGGGGGCTGAACTCTGGGCCTGGGCGCTGTCCCTCAGTTCTTCAGCTCAAGGCTAGCGCTCTACTACTTGAGCCACAGCACCAATTCCGGCTTTTTTTCTATTTGCTTATGTGGTGCTGAGGAATCGAACCCAGGGCCTCAGGCATGCAAGGCAAGCGCTCTACCACTGAGCCACCTTCCCAGCCCTCTTCTGGCCTTTCTGAGCTACAAAATAATCTGTATTTTCCTGTAGCCTTCTCTCAGTATTTCATGTGACAAAACTCTGTTGGAAATAAAATCCTTCAAGCTCCATTTATTTGGCTTGAAGCATTTTGCTTTTTTTCCCTTCATTTCTGAAAAGTATTTTAAGCTGGGTAAATAATTTTGGTTAGGCTTCTTTCTTTTCTTCAGCACTTTAAGGGGGTTATTCCATTATGTTCTGGCTTCAAAAATTTTGCATAAAGATGGCTCCTTTAAAGGGAATAGCACCCTTGTCTTCTCTGCTTTTAAATTTCTCTTTGATTTTTCAGTAAGTCAACCAAAACAGATTTATCTTATGTGTACTTATCCTGTTGGGCTTACTTGAGTCAAAGTCTATTATCAGTTTTGGAATATTTCCACAATTTTTTCCTTCCAATATTTCTCTTACCCCATCTCTTCTGGGGTTCCAATTTCATAGATCTTAGAACTTTTGTCTGTGTTCCATATTTTTTTTTCTGCTGTTTTCTAGCTTGTCTTTCTGTGATTCAGTTTTGATATTTCCTATTGACTTGTTTCTGAGTACCTTCATTCCAAATTCTGATGTCCACAGTATGTTTTTTTAAATCAACTAATTTTCAACCTCAAATTTGTATTTTGCAAATAGAAAATATCCACTTTTTTATAGCAAATCATCTACATCTACTGAATTCATTATTGTTACATACATTACTCTGCTCTAATATATTATTTATTGTAAATTCTACTGACAATTTATTGGACAAAATTAGTCCTATGTCTCAACCGAATCTCAGGTGAACCAAGACAGTTTACTTCATCTGCAGGAGAAATACAGAAAGAAACTTTAGGAGAACAATGTTAAATACATGTGAAAGCCGAATCTAAACACAAGTAGTTTGCTTCCTAACATCTGTGAACTTTTTAATATCCCAAAACTTCTGTGTGGAACCCATTCATCATGAACTTAAAAATTATGTTTGTGCGTGTTTTCTGCTGGTGGAGACTTGAAGCCATGACTTCAACCATTGGGCTATGTCCCCAGCTTCATTTTCTTCTATACAATTTTTTTTCAGAGCTGAGGATTGAACTCAAGGCCTTGCACTTGCCAGGCAAATGTTCTTCCACTGAGCTAAATCCTCAACCACTCTTCCAGACATTTCTTAAATAGGGAATTTTTGCTTTACTTTCCAATCTTTAGAAAATAATATTCAAATAAAAGATTTCATACAAATGTACTGGGAAAATCTAATAGCTTTAAATGCTCAAGCTGAGTTCAATATATACAAAGTAAAACTTAAAACATGGTACATAGTTTTTAACACACAGGTGGCGACATCAGTGTCCATCCCTTTGATCAACAAGTAGATCTGCTCTCACCTACTATCACTATTCCATTTCATCCACCACGGAGAACCACTTCCTCTCTTCTAACAGCCTATAGTAATTTACCTGCTTATATTTACAGATAAACTGACTCTGGGTTCTTTCACTGAGTATTATATTTGTGAGATTCATGGACACTGTACTTTGTAACTGTGGCTGGCTTATTTTTTGTTCTGAATAACATGCCATGAAAGCATCATAAGATAATTTACCCATTGTGTTCTCACTGAGTACTCAGGTTGTTTCTACTTTACTACTATCTTTAATGACAATATATAAGATGAGCACAAATGATTAGTGCATATACACATGCCCCTCTTTGAAACTTCTGGTTAGGGCTCCTACTTTAACACTTGTAGACAGTATCAAACAATGTCTCAAGGAGATACCTTGCAGTCCTCTCAACCACACGTGAAAGTTCTCATTTTTCTAAGTCATCTTCAACATCTAAATATAGTTATTTCAAGTGAAATAACTAAAAATATAGGTATTTCCAATGAAAAGTGTCTGATATGGGAAGGGCAGTGGATGAAAAACACACACTATTCCAAAGACCTTTTTATTAAAAAAAAAAAAGTACAAACTTGCTGGGTTTTTTTTTCTGGTTCTGGGGCTTGAACTCAGGGCCTGGGCACTGTCCTTGAGCCTCTCTGTGCTCAATACAAGTGCTCTACCACTTGAGCCACAGCATCACTTCCAGCTTTTCCTGTTTATGTGGTACTGAGGAACTGAACCCAGCAAGCACTCTACCACTAAGCCACATTCCCAGCCAATCTTGCTATTTTTATACTGAGGACACGTTCATATGATATTCTGATTGTATGGTTAAAAAACTTTTTAAATTGTATTTCATATTATCACATTTTAATATGGCTACCATAAAATTTAAATTACATAAATGATTACCACTGTAATACCACAGGATAAAACTGCTCTACGCCATATATAGCTGAAAACTCACAATTACAGAATTTGTTAAAATATGGCTGCAAACACTATATTTAATACCTGTTACATAAAGCTAGTTAATGGTTCTATTCCAGCAGAGCCTATCCCAACAGGGTACTTCATTTCATCCTGTGTTCCTTCTGGGGGGGGACAAAAAAACCTTAACTCTAAGTCTAAAAGGCATACTGACCAAACACACGGTTCTTTTTAGTAAGAAATGGTTACACTTTGTTTTTTTTTTTTACCTGATTTAAATCATACTGTTACCAAAAATAAATAAATAAATAAATCCTCCACACACTGCCCCTAACTGCCAACTGATCCTATTCTCCTTAAGTCAAGCACAAAGACAGAGAAGCCTGAGATCAGACTTTTCCTTTAAACTACACATTATGATTAACAGGTGGTAATTTCGGATGCTGGGGCTGGTTCTGGTCAGAAACCTCAGGTAAAGGTAAACAAATAAATGACATTAAAACCAACTCTCCTACCCTGCCTATCTACGCCATAACAACATCCAATGGCCTTCCAGAGGGACAGAATAGAGCCAGACAGTATGAGGTCATGAACGCAGAATGAAGAATCCGGGTCCTCTGCTGGACACCAGCTGAACCCTAAAGCAAATCCCTCCCCGGCGCCGAGTCCTGCATCTCCAGTGCGTCAGTGATTTGCATTTTCCTATGGGATCAGCAAAACCACTTTGTCATCCACCCACTCCGAACAGCTGAGAAGAGGGATTGAAAAGCAAAGCAGGAATCTCAGGAAATTCAACCAGGGTCCAGAAAAAAAAAAAAAAAAAACAATCCGTGGGGTACCCGGACACCGCTTCCCGCCCCCCGCCCCGCGCCCCGTGTGGCTCAAACCACCTTTCACCTCGCTAACTTTAGCAAGCAAAATGACCCTTTGCCTGGACAAAGCTCTTTGAAAATCTAGAGCCGCCGACCAGCCACCGCCCAAGCCCTGCCCAGAGGCCCCGACAGGTGCGCCAGGGGCGCAGCCCCGCGGCGCCTCCCCCCCCCCCCCAGCGCCCGCACCCTGGCTGACTCACCCAGGGCCAGGGCCTGCTCGCACTTGAGCAGCGCGGCGTCCAGCTGCTGCTGGCGCTGCAGATTCCGCGCTTGGCCCGCCAGCCTGCGCAGCCGGCAATCGCCCGGGAAGCACCTCTCAATCAGGCCGCTCAGCACCACGTTCACGCGTCGCATCTGCGGCCGCGGCGACCCCAGCTCCACGCAGCGCTTGCAGACCGTCACCCCGTTGGGGAGGGTCACCGGCTTGTACAGCAGTTTCCGGCAGCGCGGACAGCTGAGCAGGGCGCGGGGGGTCGGGGGCACCGGCGATGGCCGCCTCTCGCCCGGCGCCCGGAGCGCGCGGCTCGGCCTCGCCACGGGCACTAGCAGCACCCGCCGCTCGCGCAGGCCCACGGCGCGCGCCAGGCCGCACGCCAGCTCCCCCAGCTCTTCGGGCCGCAGCGGCCCGAGCCTCGCGGCGCCGCGGAACGCGCCCAGGGCCTCGGGGAGGCGGCCGGCGCGGGCCAGCGTGTCCCCCAGCCGCAGGCACAGGCCGCGGTCAGGCTTGGGCAAGCCGGCCAGCAAGGAGCGGAAATGCTCGGCTGCCATTTCATATTGCCCGGCGCGGAAGGCCTCATTGCCCTTCTGTAGCCGCCGGACGAACGGCTCTCCGTAGCTGCAGCGGAAACACTGGGGAGACGGAGTCGGAGCCGGAGCCGGAGCCGGAGACGGAACCAGAACGTGAGGCGAAGCCGGAATTGGGATCGCGACCGGGATCGGGGCCGGGGCCGGGGCCGGAGCCGGGGCCGAGGCCGAGGCCTGAGCCTGAGCCGGCGGCGGCGGTGGTGGTGGTGGCGGCGGCGGCGGCACCGGTTCGGGGCTCATGGTGACGCGGGCCCCGGCGGGGAGCTGGCGAGAGGACACGGTGCTCGGCAGCAGGAGCGCGGCCGCCGCCTTCGCCTCCGGCTGTCGGCGTCTGGGGGCGGCGAGCTCCGGGTCGCGGCGACCACGCGCGGGGGCGAGGCAGGGGCGGGCGTCAGGCTCCGCCCGGCAGGCTGCGCGACGTGGACCGCTGACCGCGCGCAGCTGCGACCGCACCGAGCCGCAGCTGCGCCAGGCGGGGGCGGGGCAGGCGATGCGCGCGCGGCCGGAGCCCCAGCCCACGCGAGGCGCCTTACGTAAGCCAGGTCGCTGTGGAAACGGGGCGATCCCCCCCTCCCCATCCCTTTCCGCTCCCCGCTTCCCTCCCCGCTTCCTTTCCCCTCCCCGCTCCTCCCGCCCTCCCTCCTGGCTCTCCCACCTCGGGCGAGCGCGCGCGCCCTGTGCCTGCGGTGGAGTCGCTGCGCGGGCTTGTCCAGCTGGCTCTGCCCGCTGCTGCCCCGACAACCTGTGGCTCTCCCTAGAAAAACACAAAGAAAGTCACCAAGCACAGCACCCCACCTTGGGTTTGATGCAGGGACTGCCATTTTGATGACATGGGCATCTGAAGTAGGTTTTAAAGCAGGATTCTTTTCTCTCCATGGAACCCTGAGTTTAGACTGACATTTGAAAGCTCAAATTTGATTGCAGAACCTGAGGACATACCAAAGCAGACACTCTGAGATGGAGGGATTTAAGAAGTGGACAGCTGCATTCTTGATTGGGAAATCCTATCACAGGGTACTGCAGACTGGTTGCACGAAGCAGGGAGATGAAAGCTACGATGGTAGCCAGGGAGCCAGGGCTTGCATTAAAATCCTTCTGTGTTCATTAGCGAGGTTTGGGAATTTCTCGTGATAATGAGTAGTCTTCTCTCCCTATTGTACTCATCACCACCACCAGCATTCATTTTACGCTGATAGGGATGCAATAAAATGCACATCCATATTCCAGAATCCGCACTGTTCATTATTTCAAGGATAAACTTCTTTGTTCTAAATCTGTGATGTTTTTCTTCATGTAAGACTGCCCACTAAGGAAAATATAAAATACATTGATCCAACCTGGGTTCGGAAAAGGGGAAAGGCCTAGTTTAAGCAAAGAGATATTAGATTTAGATCAATTTAGAACAATTCCCAAGAGGGGAAAAAATAGATGTGGCCAGCCTTCTAGTCTGATAAGAAAATATGTAGCAAACCTCTCCAAGGATGTGACCTACCTCCTTTGGACAGTAATGGTTATAGACCAAAATGGGTCTGTTTCTCGTGGTTGAATTATTCTAATTCTCCTTTTAACTCTGAATTTTGATGTTTCTTTGTAACAATTCACTTGTGTTTAAAAATGGTTTGTTGGCAGATTCACAGGAAAACCAGGAGGAAATGGTGAGAGGAAGTTTCCCAGCAGTTAAACTAGATGCCATAAAAAACTATACGTTAAAAATAATGAAACCTAAGACCCTATTGTTCTTATTTTAGACAAATCTATAGCAAGACAAAAGAAAGCAGATCGCTGGGAGTGTGCTCTCAGGGAACAAGCAACATTTTAAAGCAAAAATGCACACACACACACACACACATTGTGAGATTTGCAACATGTATCCAAATAAACTATCACAGAAATAGCGAGGTCCATAGAGAACATTACATTAAGATTCTTTTTAAAAACATTATCTTTAAATAGTTGCGCAAGAGGGGCACTGGTAGCTGGAATCCTAGCTACTCAGGAGGCTGAGATGTGAAACCAGCCTTGAGCTGAAGAGCTGAAGGACAGCACCCAGGCTCAGAGTTCAAGCCCCACAACCGACAAAAAAAAAAAAAAAAGTTCTGCAAAGGAGTTGCCATTTAACAAATCAGTTTATGAACATAATGCACCTTGATCAGTGTCACCCTTTTAAACATTCTCACTCCCCTTCAACCCACCCCTTCTTTTACTTTTCTTAATTTTGTAGTATATTCAATGAAGTTTTTACTGTTTTTCCAACTTCTCCCCTTCATTCATCTATCCCTTTCCTCTTGACCCCACACCCCCTTTGAAGTCCTCCTTTCTTGGTGTTTATTTTGTTGGACTTTGTCCTTCTAAGAAATTCTTCAACTTTTCCCTAGAGTCTACCATATTTCAGTTAATACATTTGTAACCACTTGCATATCACCAAGTGTTTATGAGCAATTCTAGCTACCACTAATGAGGAGAAATATGCAGGCTTTGTTTCTCTGGGTCTGACTTAATATAATTTTTCCAAGTCTTTCCATTTCCTTGCGCATGAATGGTACAATATCATTCTTTTTCATGGATAAGATCTATTGTGCACATAGGACACATTTTCTTGATCCATTAGTTCATTCAGGTCCCTGTGAGCTGATTCCATATCTTGGTCATAGTAAATATTGTTGCAATGAACATGGTTGTGCTGGTGGCTTTACTGTAACCCTGTTTGTGATCTATTGGATAAATGCCCAGGAGTGGAATTGCTGGGTCACAGGGAATTTCTATGTTTAGCTTTTCAAGGAACCTCCATACTATTTTCCAGAGTAAGTAAATAAGCTTACATTCCATCAACAGTGTATTAGAGTTCCCTTTAGTGTCATCCTTGCCAGCATTAAACATTGTTTGTTTTCTTGATAATGGCCATGCTAATAGGGGTGAGGTAGAAACTCAGTGTTGCTTTGATTTGCATTTCCTTTATGACCAGAGGTGCTGAGTATTTCTTCATGATATGCATTATATAAAAACTGAACTGCTTAACTTGAGGATAGGGATGGGAGAGGGAATACGGGGAAGAGCAATAAAAGGGGTAAGTAACATTGACCAAGAAGCATTGTTACTAATAGCCTGATGTGAAATTGTAACCCCTTTGTACAATGGTTTAATAATAAAAATATGAATAAATTCCTAAACCAAGTAACAATTAGTGAATTATGAACTCACTGGATATTTGATATCAAGTGGATGTTTAATTTTTTTAAGTGTGATCAAAGTGTGGCAGTTTGTTTTTCAAAGAACTCCTTAATTAACAGATGAATAATAGGATGCCTGCCTGCTGAACTCTGTATGGAAGATGAAAAGTGGGAAATGGATACCTGGACCTTTATTCTTTCCATTCCTTCTTTTCTCCTATATGGTTAACATTTTCCATAATAGAAGGTTTTTAAAAAATGAACAGAAAGTATCCTCTTTTTTGTGTTAATGATCCTGGGACTTGAACTCAGGGCCTGAGCACTGAATCTGAGTACTTTTGCTATCACTTGAGCCACAACTCCACTTTCAGCTTTTTGGTGGTTAATTGGAGATGAGTCTCATGGAGCTGAGCGCTGGTGGCTCACGCCTGTAATCCTAGCTATCCAGGAAGCTGAGATCTGAGGATCGAGGTTCAAAGCCAGCCCAGGCAGGAAAGACCGTGAGACTCCTATCTCCAATAAACCACTAGAAAACTGGAAGTGGCGCTGTAGCTCAAGTGGTAGAGTGCTCTCCTTGAGCTGAAGAGCTGAGGAACAGTGCCCAGGCCCAGAGTTCAAGCCCCATGACTGGCCAAAAAAAAAAAAAAAAGTCTCATGGACTTTCCTGCCTGGATTGGCTTCATACCTCAATCCTCGGGTCTCAGTCTCCTGCATAGCCACATTGTCTTTATTTTTGAAAATTGTTTCTGATAAGCATAGATTTCCATATTGGAAATCATTTTCTTTTAGCACATTAAAGACATTATTACATTGTTCTAGCATGTACAATTTCTGACAAGGCATCCAAGCTTATTCTTTTCTCTTAACCAAATTTGGATAAATTTGGCCATTATTCCCTCACATTTTTCTTTCTCTGTCCCCTTTTCCTCTGGTATTCCAGTTACATGCTTTGTAAGCTTTTTGGTATTATCCTGCAGGTCACTGCCACTCACCTTGTTTATTTTCAGTCTTTCATTTTTGTTTGTTCTGTGCCAGTACTGGGGCTTGAACTCAAGACTCTCATACTCTCACTTGGCTTTTTTACTCAAAGCTGGCACTTTACCACTTAAGCTATATACCTCCACATCCATAATTTTGCTGGTTAATTGGAGTCTTACAGACTTTCCTGCCCAGGCTGGCTTCAAACGAGATCCTCACACCTCAGCCTCTTGAGTACCTAGGATTACAGGTATGAGCAACTGATGTCTAGCTGCTTCATTTTACATAGGTTCTATAACCATCTGTTGATATGTCTTTGAGTTTACTAGCCTTTCCTCTGCTCTATCTAATATGTAAATATAACTCGATAACTGTGGTTTTTAATCTCTGGAGCCAATTTCTTTTGATTTGTTTATGTATCTGTCACTTTTCATGTAATCACACTTTCTTTTAAACATAATTATTATACGTTTTAATGACCTTTTCTTCCAATTCCATCATTCTAGTCTAAATTATAGATTACAGATTTCTTGTCCTGTCTAGCAATTCTTACTTGGGTGCTCTAAAAAGTGTTGTTTTATTTTGATGAATATATGGAATTTTTTTCTTTTTAATAATGCATAGGGTATTGTTCTGCTACTAGACTGTTATTTGAAGTTCCTGTTTTAGGCTTTTTTTTAAGCTTTGATGTAAAAGATGTGGAGTTGATTTGATGTTAATGACAGTGTGGTCCATTCTGTGGTAATAGGGTCTCTATCAATGTCCTTAGTGGGGAAGTTGGATTCCATTTTGGCTAATGGTGAACTTGCAATGCTTCACAGAGTGTGTGAGCTCTGAAAACTGTTCAGCACATAGCTATTCTTTTTTCCTGTCTCATGGAGGTTCCTCTATCCTTATATATTTTGTAATTCTGGAAAGTCTCAAGGAAACAGCCAGGAAAATTTGTTTCTCTCCTTTTTATTCTGTATATCTCTCCTCTCTTGAACTTTGCCCTTATGATTTTTGGTTGTCTGCACTCTCTGATCTCCAATTATAGACTCACAATTCTAGTCTCTGCAAGAACTCTCCTTATTTATGGTTCAGAATAAGTCTCCAGACAGAAATTTGAAGTGGAAAAGAGTACTAAGGAGATAGGCATGCAGAATTTTTTGAGTACATGTAATAATGGTACATATATTATCCCATTACTCCTATATACATTGTATTTATTTCTAAAGTAAAAACAACCCTTCTATTTTATGAGAATCAGGTTAATTGTAATATGATTGAGGCTCGAAGTAAATACATGGAAGAAAACTAGTAAATGAACAAACTTACTCCCTGAAACATACCAGAAGAAGAGAAAATTGTTATTTTTGTTTTTTCCACAGGATCTTTACTCAGCAAAATTAATTTAAAACATTTCCAGCATGGGCACTGGTGCCTCATGACTGTACTTTTAGCTACTCAGAAGGCTTAGATCTTAGGCTTGTAGATTGAAGCCAGCCCAAGCAGGAAAAGTTCGTGAAACTTTAATTTCCAATTAACCACCAAAAAGCCAGAAGTGGAGGTGTGGTTCAAGTGGTAGAGCACTAGCATTGAGTGAAAAAGCTAAGGGACAGTGCCCAGGCCCTGAGTTCAAGCACTAGTATTGGTGCATATGCATGTTCTCACATTCACATACGCTTAGTGCCTTGAAATAGAGCAAGAGACAGCCCACAATATGATGGCAAGATGACTGGCTTGGAAATTGGAAAGTAGGAAGTATAGATTCTTGATTGGGAGTGTTGCTGTGTGATTGGAAGCATCAGTTTCCCCAGCTATACACCAAGCAATTAACAATCTCTTTCCCAATCTCCACAGTCATTTTCAGGATCAAAAGAACTTGTAGACCTGGAAGTGCCACAGAAAAAAAGAATGAATGGCTAGCTAGAAGAAGTATCATTATTAGGGTGACCAAAATTTGATCATGTTTGAAAGGCATCCAGAAGGGTACATTCCCAATTAGGACTGGCGAGTCAGATCTCAAACCATGAATATAACAGAGCTAAGCAGGAGCCACCTTATATGCTTTGTCTGGGCAGAGTTGTAGTTGAGTCCCTTGGACCAAACCCTGGAG